CTGTCTCAAAAAAAAAGAAGAAAGAAAGAAAAAAGAAAATATCTAGTATCTAAAATTGATGGACGAAGAGGCAGCAACATATTTGTATTTTTAGGAATACATAGTATGAAAAGAAACTACTGAAAAAGCTGAAAGTAGTTGCCTTTGGGTAGCATGACTGAAAGTGGGGTCAGGCAGAGCAAAGAACTACTAGCTTTTGTTTTTTTTAATGTTTTTAAAATAATTTTTTATAGAGATAGCATCTTATTATGTGCTCAGACTGGTCTGGAACTCCTGGCCTCAAGTGATCCTCCTGCCTTGGCCTCTCAAACTGCTGGGATTACAGGTATGAGCCACCACACCCAGCAAGAATAATTGAGGGGTTTTTCTTTTGTAATTTAAGAGACAGGGTCTTGCTCTGTCACCCAAGCAAAACTGCAGTGGCTTGATCATAGCTCACTGCAACCTTAATCCCTTGACCTTAAATGATCCTCCTTGCCTTAGCCTCCCAAAGCGCTGGGATTACAAGCATGGACCACTGTGTCTGGCTTGGTTTTTGTTAAGAGATTTTTTTTTTTTTCTTTTTTTTGGAGACGAAGTCTCGCACTGTCGCCTGGGCTGGTGGGCAGTGGTGCGATCTCGACTCGCTGTAACCTCTGATACCTGGGTTCAAGCAATTCTCCTGTCTCAGCCTCCCAAATAGCTGGGATTACAGGCATGCACCACCATGACCAACTAATTTTATATTTTTAGTAGAGACGGGGTTTCACCATGTTGGTCAGGATGATCTCTAACTCCTGACCTCAGGTGATCCACCCACCTCAGCCTCCCAAACTGCTGGGATTACAAGCATGAGCCACCACGCCCAGCCTTACCTTGCCCTTTCAATGTGCCTCACATGGCTAGAGGTAGGGGACGCAGACCCTTACAGGCTGACAAGATAAATAAAAGTTGGTTTGTCGAAAAGGTAATGATGGATTATCCATTTGCCCTGGTTTGGGTCCCTTCTAGATTCAGGCCTGCAGAATGTGAAGTTAATCAACTAGGCTCCTGACTCACCTGGTATATCCGGGAGCATGTCGCCGTTGGTAGACCTCTTTTTTAGGTGATGGGCTCCTAGTTTGGCCTGTCTCTCTCCTGTTCACCTTAGAGTTGTGCCTGTAACAGACACAGAGAGGAAAAAGCCTTTTTAATCCAGGGGCTTACATTGAATCTCTCAAACAATGCAAGATGAGCTAATGGTCTTAGAGGTATAATCTAAGCAGAGGGCACAAGTATGAGAAAAATAAAGGTATAGGGTTTGATGTCAGACTCACCCCAGAGCTCCCAAAGCACAGTATACACCTACAGATATGTAGCTTTGGATGCCTGAGCTTTACATAGAGGTGGAAAAAAAATGATATAAAGGAAATACCAAAGCAAAGACATTTGGGAAAGTCGATGGATGGACATCTCCAAAAGCAAAAGCAAATGCCTGCAGGGACCATGCCCCCACAGTCACAGGTTATTTCCCAGTGAATCCCACACTCACGGTTTGCTGGGCCTTGGGGACCATGACCTTCTGCCCGGGGATCGAGACCTCCTGTCCCGGGACCCTGCTTCCCTGGTACTCTTCTTGCTGGCATGTCTGGGGGGTGAGTAGGAGGAGCTTCTGGATCTGGAATGGTTCTTCATCCCATGCCTTCTCTTTTGCTCGGCTGTCAGAGGATCCTGAAGACCCTGGTTGCGGTCAGAGTTCCTGACCTACGTCATTAAGGAAAAGAGAAATTATTCACATGGAAAATCCAGCGATTCAGGAGAAAATGCAGCCGGGCACGGTGGCTCACGTCTGTAATCCCAGCACTTTGGGAGGCCTAGGCGGGTGGATCACCTGAGGTCAGGAGTTTGAGACCAGCCTGGCCAACATGATGAAACCCCATCTCTACTAAAAATACAAAAATTAGCCAGGCCTGGTTGTGGGCACCTGTAATCCCAGCTACTCGGGAGGCTGAGGCAAGAGAATTGCTTAAACCCGGGAGGCATAGGTTGCAGTGAGTCGAGATCGCGCCACTGCACTCCAGCCTGGGCGACAGAGCAAGACTCCATCTCAAAAGAAAAAAAGAAAAGGCAGTGAAACAGGAGATGTTACATAAGGAGCTCATTGTGCACACCAATATCATCACATGGAATTATCACAGAGAACTGTATAAACTTAGTTATCTGCAGAATCCCCTAAAAGAATCTCCTTCAGTCAGCCAGGTGCAGTCGTTCACACCTTTAATCCCAACACTTTGGGAGATGGAGGCAGGAAGACTGCCTGAGATCAAGAGTTTGACACCACTCAGAGCAACTAGTGAGACCCTGTCTCTACAAAATATTTAAAAATTAGTTGGGTATGGTAGGTCCAGCCCGGGCGACAGAGCGAGACTCCCTCTCAAAAAAAAAAAA